AGGCTGTATTTATTTTATTTTTCCAAGAAATGCAACGCTTAGTGATTTGATTTTTTTCATAGTTTTCGTAACGATAAATACGCTTATATATTTTAATATAACGTTCCAAATTCATATTTAAAAATTCGTATGAATTCATAGTATCTTTTTTTTATTTTTTTAAATGTAGTCATGTTTGTTATGGGTAAAAAACCTTTATTGATTGTTTTGCAAAGTTCTTGATAGTACGTATAACCTTTACTTATGGTAAACGCATCATCCAATTCAAAACATTTGCGATAACATTTGCTAAAATAATGACTTTTTTTATTTTCGTAATCTTTTATGATAAACACATAATACAAATCTTTCATTTCTTTTTCACACAAATGCAATTCAACATCTTATTTTATTAAATGTTCTTTTATCAAAACTTGCCATGTTTCATAATTATTTTGCGTATGACTAAAATGGCTATATAATAGTTGAAAGGTAGAAATTACTTTTTCTAACGATTGCTCTACTTGTATGTTTTGATGCCACTTTTTTAATGTTGCAATAACTGGTTCTAGAGAAGCTAAACAATCTTGTTTGAGGATATACATATCTTTATCTTCTTTGAGTTGTCTCACTGTGCAATTAGCTATTTGACTGTAACGTATCATTTTGTTTTTATTTTGCGCATATCTATATCCTTCATTTTTATATTTGTACGAAGTAGGTAACAATGATTTAAAAATTTTTTTGTTAACTTAAGTGCATCTGATGATATGATGACCTGAAACGTATATTTTGAATCTTTTTTATTTGCAAAACTAACATCATCCTTATTGAGTTTTATTTCTGTTCTGAAGAAAAATATCCATTTTTTACTAGCGTACTCTGAACATTTCGTTCCCGAGAACCACGGTAGCAATGTGATTTGTTCTTCCGTTTTTGTAAAATATACAAGTTCGCGTTTACCAAAATTAAATTGAGCTACTGGTGGTACAAAAAATTTGCTATATTGTGATTCCTTGATTTCCTCCTTTTTTAAATCAACACTCCATAATGTGGCTGCTGCCAATTCTGGAAACTGGACATATTGCACAATTTCAGTACAATAACCAACACTAAACTCGGTCTCTATTTTTTTGTGTTTGAAAAAAAAAAAAGTTTATATTAAATAAAAATAAAAATCAGTATGTATATTTTAATTTAAATCAATAGAATTTAAAAATAGATTGATCTTTGATCAAAAAGATGAAACGTTTTTTTCAACTTTAACCTCTCATTGACGTTGTATACTCTAACATTGACGTCATTATTTTATAAAGAAAGGTAAAAAAAATTGTATTGTAAATCAACGCTCTTCTACATTATTTTTTTATAAAAAAAATGAATTCTGAAAATAATGATGAAGCTAAAAAAGGAGGAAATATATTTGTATATGAATCTAATACAGATACCGAAACAGAAGAAACAGCAAAAGAACTTAAAGAGAATACAGACAAATAAAAAAATTTTTCGGTTAGAAAAAGATTTTTATTTAAACATTACAGAAAAGCGCGTATAGAAAGTGATCATTATCAAAAAATTAAAAAGTTATAATGAGAAACGATTGTTCGGAATGCTTTACTAGCAAAGTGTTGATCTATTCCATGTCGTTTACATGTCCGCATTGCAAAAACAGTTTTTGCTCTCTATGTTTTGTGATACATACCAAAAATTCAAGGCAAAAACAAAAAATATCGGATGTTGCAAACTTTAGCAAACAAAATGAGGATGATTTTATTGTGATTGAAAACTATTGTAAAATTTAATTTTTTTTCAAAAAAAGATTTTGACTTGATTATTCGACTTATTTCTTTTTATTTTAATTTTTTTCTAATTTTTTTTTGTTAATTATTTTTTTAATTATTATATATATCATTTATTTTCTAGAATAAAAATGAGTAAAACAAATAAAAATGACATTGAAAAATATTTAAAAAGTACATTGGTTTGTCAAAGCAAATTTGTTGGTTTTGATTCAAAATACGTTATCGATTTTATTGAATTGGATCAAGATGCTATTAAAATTCAACATGTACTCAGTTGGTTAAGTAATCAAAAAAACATTGAAGATGAATTAAAAATGTGTTCACAAATATTGGAAATGTTTCAAAATAAACTTGCGTATTACAAAAGTATTTTAGAAATTTTAGAATCTGCAATTAAATGCAGTTATTGTAATGTTTATTATTTAAAAGATTATTTTTATAAATCCCAAAATATTCTTTTTTGTAAAGCATGTTTGAAATTGTAAAAAAAAAAAAAATTTATATATGATGTTTTTTATTTTTTATTTTTTTAATCGTTTTCTATTGATTTTATAAAAAAAAGAATGTCAATTAGATATATTTTTTAATATTTTTTAATTATATTTTTAGAAACTAAAAAAATGAATTTTTACAAAAAATTTCTGAATGAAAAATGAGTTTTTCAAAAATTTTCAATCTATATTTCAAATAGAAAATGGAGATATTGAAGACGTTTTGTGGAAATTTGGTTACTTAGAAGGGAATGGGAAGAATATTTTGAATTAGTAAAAGAAGAATTGGAAGGTGCAGAATTTATTGATGCTGTTATTGAATGTGAAAGAATTCAAAGTCTTTATTATTTTATGGGTAAAGTGTTTTACAAATGGGAATTGCAAGTTTGTGCTTGTGGTTTGAAATTTGAGGATAAAGAATTTAAAGATCTGATGAATAAATGTCGAAAGTGGTATGAAATGTTTGATCGAATCGATGATTTAATGAGCAAAAAATATAAAAACGCTTTTTTTGCTGAATTTAAAATTGAAATTAATAATGTTTTGTTTAATAAAAGATTGACTTTTTAAAAACAAAAAATTGTTGTTATTTATTTGTATTATTTTTCAATGAAATTTTTGTTTACCAAAAAATAGTGTTTATTATAATAATGTTATACATTTTTTTAGATTTAAATATAAAAAAAAAGGAAGATGGACAATTGTTTAAATTGCACAAAACTTGCAGCTATTGTATACATGAAGTTAGAGATACTTGTACTTGTCCTGATCAAAATCCGATTGAACCTTTTGTTTTTTATGATAAAGTAAGAATAATTGTTCAACTTTTTGAATGCGATTTTTATCCTGAAAAAGATTTGGAATTTTATCAAAGAAATTTGGATCGTTTTATGGAGCAAATGAAAAAAGTATTGACACTAAATCATAATACAAATATGGAACGCATCTTATTTATGACAGTTTATAGAAGTATAATATTTGAAATTATTAGAAGAATATTTAAGTTGCGAAAGATATAAATTATAAATGGAGGAAGCCAAAAAACATTTTTTTTTAAATTTTGAAGACGATCTTAAAATTATTAAAAATTTTCAAATTCAAACGGTTATTTTTAAAATGAGAAAAATTATGTGTAAAATTTTAAAAAATTTATTTCTTTCTTTTATTGTGTAATCGATGTATCTGCATAATTTTTTTTGTATATATTGTATGTATATGATTTATATTTATAGATTAAAAAAAATATGGCTTATGCACTTATGAATTTAAATCCAAGTGGAATTTAAAATGAAAGCAATGAATGCTATGAAAATAGGTTTAGTTTATTTATGCATCGTTGGAATGCATTTTACAATTTTTTACCCAATTTTACATTAAAGGAAATCAAAAGAAAAATGTTATCCTTTAATAATCAATCTTTTTATTGTCTCGCCAGTAAATCTGATAAAGAATGGTTACATTTTTTAACAATAGAAAAAGATTGGTTACCGATTAGCGATGCTGTAATTATTTTGAAAGAGTTGAAAAAGAAAGTTCCACAATATTATAATGTGCTATTTATAGATTTTTTTCAATTTTGGCATTCGGGAGATATATAAGAATGGTTTGTAGAAAAAGGAATACCAGCAAAAAATGAGTATTCGAGTTATCGATCGGACTGGTTAGAGGAAGTAAATCGTAAAATTAAAGAAAAAAACATGGAAAATAAAAAGAAAATGATACGATTTTGTGCTCAATTTTACATGAAAGGAAAACAAAAAGATCGTTCTCGGAAATATTAGAAACGCATAACAATTACTTTGATTTTTTTGCAGAGTCAAAATTTAACGACTTTATGGATTGCTGTTTGGATTTTTATCATATTTATTTGTTTAATTTAAAAGAATTAATGAATAGAGTAGTATCCGTCGATAAAAATTTATTTTTTCGGAGAAAATTATGCTATAATATGAAAGAAGATTTAAAATGGGACTGTTATTTTAAAAATAAAATTAAAGATATACCTTCAGTTTTTGGTTTGCTTGTTTTAAAAGTTATTAAAAATGAATTAAATACTATTTTTGAATATGAAAATGTTTAAAAATTTGTTTTTTAAATATTTCTGATTTGAAACTTTTTTACAATCAATTTTATAAACGTTACAGACCTACATTTTTTGAAGAAGTTTTGCATAGATGTGATAAAAGTGTTAATGAATATTTTTATAATTTTTTTTTTTAATGAAAATTAACATTTGTAATACTTATATTGAAGAAATGAATAATGATAAAATAAGTTAGAGTTTGTTTGTGGATAGTGAGAATTCTAACATGCTAAACGATATAACAAATGCCAACGATGAAGAACAACAAATAATGATCGAACAATTAGTATTAGAGACTAATGACAAAATAAAACTTTTAATTAAATAAAAATATATGAAAAAAAAAAGTTTGAACTTTTTATTATGACCAACATGGTTTTTTTTAGCGAATATGCATTCATGTTTTTATTTTCAGAATAAACTTGTAATTTTTTTTTACTGATAATTTGAAATAAAGAATTTTTTTCAAGGTAAAAAAAACAATGACATCTGCACATGAAGTTTTGGCTTTTAATGGTTTGATTGTGAATACAATTTTATTTTATACAAAGTTATTTGTTAAACAAATTAGCAACTAGTGAATAACTTTATAAAAAAATTGAAATAACAGCGAGTACTGGAACAGCTACACATCTCATAGGCGATATGACGCTTCACATTTTTGCTAGAATCGGTGTGGGTAGAAATAAACGTGAGTTTTATTTAAAACGTATGAAACGAGAGGTGAGAGAAAGATGGATAAATACGGACGTTTTAATTATTGACGAAATATCAATGATTAATGCCAAAACATTTGATTTATTGCATGAAATAGCAAGCAAAGTAAGACTTGAAAACGAGGAACTCTTTGGAGGTATGCAAGTTTTTGCGTGTGGAGATTTGTTGCAATTAAAACCAATCGAAGGTGATTATATTTTTAAATCAAAAGTTTGGAAAAAATACATGTCAAGTTCTATGATACTGACAAAATGTTATCGACAAAAAGAGGATCCTCTTTTTTTTAATGCCTTAAATGAGATACGATTGGGAGAAGTGAGCGAGGCAGCTGTACAATATTTAATGCGAAGGCATTTTACAAGTGATAACTTAATTGACAATAGTTATCTCAGATTATTTTTCTTAAGAGGAAACGTTTTTAAATATAACGAATTAAAAATGGCCGATTTAAGGGGGAAAGCAATATATTTCAAGGCTAAAGATAATATTTTAGATAAAAGTATAACTCTAACTTCGTTTCAAATTCCACCCGATGTCACAGTCAAATTGGGAGCCGTTGTCATGTTGCTAAAAAATATCAACGTAGAAGAAGGTTTATGTAACGGAGCTGTGGGAAAAAACTAGTTGTCGATTTTTTGCATTCTGCTTTTGATCCTTCGCTCTATTATGTTTCACTATCCAGTACTGTTCGTTAGAAGATCTTTATATGATTTGTCCTGACGCGTTAGTGTTGCAAAGCATGTTGAAATGTATAACAGCGACTCCAGACGTTTTGAATTATTATACGCATATATCATAAATTTCTGACTAAACCAAAAGGCAACAACTGTGCAATTTGTTTTTTTTTTTTTTTTTTGTTTATCGACCATATAATCTACTTCTAATTTTTTATTTTCGTCTATAGTGTTATAGGCATTATATCTATTTAATAATCCGTCTATTATTCCTCTTCCTCTAAATCTTTTGAATCTTATCGTAAATCTTTTTTTGGTTCTTTTTTTTGTTCTATTTTTTTTATTCGTCTCATTTTACTTTTTTATTTTTTATTTTTGGTTTTTTATGTTAATTCATTAAACGATCAAATTCGGATGATCTATTCTGCTTTATATAACTATCAATATCTTTTTTTTTTTTTTTTTTTTTATTTCGTCAGTAAAAAAAAAAGAATACAATGTCGTGTAAAATAAAAAAGATCAACATGACCAGGGATAAAAGAAGACAATACTTGCCTTATCACTACACCCCGACGTGCTTTCATAAGCAAGCGTGTACAACCATTAAAAGTTAAATATACAATTACTTTGTGCCATTTAAAAAAATTATATACAATTATTTACAAGTATGTTAAGACTAGTTACTAATCTATAATCAAAAGAAAATAGTAAAAAGAAATTGAAAAAAAAATAAAATCAAAACTATAGATAAGCTAATAGGATAGTTTATGGAGTTAATAAGATAATTGTTAAAAATGAAGAAAAAATAAAAATAAAAAATTTTTAAAAAGAATTTAATTCATTAACATCGTTAATAAGTTTTTGTTTCAATTTTTTTTTGAATAGGTAAAGAGAAGAACAATTTTTCAGCTCGTCACTTAATAAAGCGTTCCATATTTTAGGACCTCTTATAGCAATAGAAAATTTGTTAGCTAAATAATGCATTTTAGGTTGCTCATAATTGTACTTAGAAAACTTTGTAGGGTACATATGATTAATTTTATTGAAAAGAGTACCTAATATTATAGGTGATATTTTATTATGAAGATTGTACATAAAAATAAGAACTTGATAAAGGTTTAACTGAAAAACATTGAGTATGTGAAGATTATTAAATAGTTCTTTAGTATGTGTGAATCGACCTGCATTTGAAATAATTCTGACAGCATGTTTTTGTTTAATAAGCAGTTTTTCAATTTTACTTATATTAGAGCTGCACCAGGCAATGTTTGCATAGTTTATATAACAATGTATGAGGGAGAAATATAATATTTTTAGGCAGTTTTGGTTTAAAAACTGCTTGGCTTTGAATAGTATACCAATATTTTTTGAAACTTTATTTTCTATTGTACTTATGTGTTCTCTCCATGTTAAGTTTTCATCAAGTATCACTCCTAAAAATTTTATTGATGACTCTCTAATTATTTTAGAGTTGCCAATAAAAAGATTAGGAAGTTTTATTGGAATGTTTTTTTTATCGTAAACTCTATAAAAAAAAGTATACTTATTTTTATTTAAATTTAAGGACAATTTGTTCGCCTTTTTACACATTTTGTAATTAATGGAAACGCTGTATTATAAAGTTGTTGTAACTTATCTAGAAACTTATTGTATGCCTTAATTGTGTGTACAATATCAAGGAGGTTATCCCAGTTTAAATCTGCTAGAAGACTATTAAAATTTTTAATGGATTTTTTATCTATTTGTCGTGTAGTTTTTTCAATTTTTTTTGCATAGATATTATCGCATTTTTGTGAGATAAGAAACATAGGGAAGTGGTCTGAAATGTCGCATTTAAATATACCCGTTTTTATTTTTGATTTAAATTCGTTGGTTACTATTTGGTCTATAACAGTTGCGCTTTCTCTAGTTATTCTTGTGGGTTTATTAATTAGTGGATCTAGTTTTAAAATTTGGCAGCTAAAAATTTGTATTTGACATAATATATTCATCAGTACACCAACTTTCGCTGAGACTAATAATTATAAAATTTAATTTAATCTCGCATAAAAATTGTTTAAATGATTCAAAATTTTTTGAAATGCTCCTAATGTTTAAATGCAAAATTAAAAATGAGTTTACATCTATTCCTTGCATTATGTTTGCAGATTTAGGGTTATAATATAAAGTATTAATATTTTGAAAAGCTTTATTATTACTATAAAAATTAATATCCGGGTCAGAAGTTTTATTTATAAGTATCCTATTTTTATTTTGTAATGAATTAAATTCTAAGTTAATTGAATCATTATTATCATTCATAAGAAGAGTGTTTTTTTTTTAAAAAAAAAACTGTTTAAAAGAGTAAAAAATAGAAAAAAATGAAAATAAATAAATAAATAAAGTAATTAAGCACTCGCTTGCTTTTTCCTAAATTCTCTAACTATAAGTTTATCATATTTTATAACAGAATATTTACCATTTTTTCTATGCATCAAACATTTCATAAAAAATATCGCGTACAACATTTGTTGATATTTGCGTTTCATCTATTTTCCCCTTTTCGTTAGATTTCTTTCGATCCATGATATTTTTTTTCTCCGTTGAATAAATTCAATAAAAAATAAATTTAAAAAGAAAAAAAAAATATATGATGATAAATTTTTTCTTATATAACACGTCTGCTCGCCATAAAAACTTTGTTGTACGTGAGGGTTAGGGTTATATCTGGATTTTGATTTACATATTCTCTAATTTTTTGTTTTTGAGCATTACTAGGTCTGTCAATAAAAAAATCAAAATCTCATATACCTCTTATTCTTTTTCTTTTATTGATTCTTTTTCTTCTTTTTCTAAAATTTTTTTTTAGCTTTTTTGGGTTTCATTTTTTTAATAGTTTTTTTACGAGTTTATAACCCATTAATTCTAAAGCTAACGGTAACACAATACCTTTGCCTCTATGTTTGTTATGTTTTTTGCATCGCCTTTAATAATATTTTTTATTCATTTTTTTGTATTGTTTATTTTTTTAAAGTAGGAATTTTAATTTATTTAAATTTTTGTAATGTCTTATTTAAAAGTGGTTGCTTATTTTATTTTAAAAGGTTATCTTTTTTATTAATTTTTTTTTTCTAGCCAAAAAATTAAATAAAAATGAAAAATTACAAAGTGTATAAAGAAAAGGAAAAATTGAGCAATAAATCGATTTATAGAGAAACTGTCTATTACATCAAAAACGGATAAAAAGATAAAGATGTTGTAGAAGAAATTGAATTAGATCGACAAATGCAATCGCCTGACGAAATTGTGTATGATATTAACGAAATGACAGAAATTGGATTCAATAATGAATTTCAAAATGAAAAGACTTTTCACGATGTTTTTAAAAACTTTTTGTTGGGTTTTAATTTTGTTATGCTGTGCGGAAAATCAGTAGAAGAAGGATTGTGCAAATTGATTAAAAGAAATTATATTTCACCTGTTTATTTTATCACACCATTATTTTATCACCACCAGGTCCTGTTTATTTGCAGTATTTAAAAGATAACAATTTATCAGCTGCTTTTAATATTTTGGAGAACGAGAGCGGTTGGAGAATAATACGTCTTTTATTTTCGAGTAAAAAGTTTAATTAATTTGTCTGAAAAAAGCATGATGAAATTGAGAAATTATGAAATGGGAGGTAAACGCGTAGCCAAAATATCACCTAAAGAATTGATAAAAGAGAGAGAAAAAGATAGAATGAGAAAAAGATAGAATGAGAAAAAGATTAACAGCCGATATACGAAAAGCAAAAAGATTAACAGTTGATAAACCAAAAAGGGAATATAAAAAAAAGTGAAGATTCAAAAATTTTTTGCAAACGAATGGAAAGGTGAATGGAATCGACCTTTAATCTAATTGAACAGCGAGCACGTACAAAAAAACTATTTAAATCAATATAGCCAATTTGAAAAAGAAAATGTTAAAAATGATATTTTAACTTATCGTAGAAAATATATAATGCTCTTAGATTACAGTAGCTTGTTTGAGCCCGGCTATTGTTTTTATTCCTCCTTTCTAATTTCGTTACTCGTTCGAAAATGGCAAGTGACATCAATCGGGGAATGGAATGAAAACGTGCTTGCATCAACACTCATAAATTAGCTATACTGAAAAAAAAGAGTCATTTTTACGCCATGTCTATCATCAACGAGCGCTACACCACTCTATTTCACGGCTGTTCTTTTCAAATTTGTTTGCAATGCAACGAAAGATTTGTCGGAAATGCGCACTATGATTGCTAAGGTTATTACTAAAAAGTTAAATTTCGCTATGCTGAGCAAAGAATATTTATGGAACCTCTAAAAGAATTCATGAGTCGCAGTAGAAATTTGTTTCCCTTTTTTATCACATACGATTGTGAAACCAACAGCACTCCGGACGATTCTCAACAAATAAAACTAGTCAAATCCATCTCGTCTATATCTTACTTTTGTCATAGTGTGGTCATTCAATGTATCACTGAAGATTTAGCATTGAAATGCTTTGGTATAGACGAAAAAGGCAAAGTCATTACGCAATAGATTTCCTACGACGAAAATACCATCGAGAGTTTAAAAAGCAATCCGTTGAAAATGTTACCTGTTGCTTTAAGCGAAGCCGTGTCAACGTTACACTTTGCACACAGCGAACTTTTGTGCTCAAAACTTGATCCTAGTGATCCGCATATAGAAAACAAAAAAAAAATGAATTGCGCGTTTACGATTTGATTGTGTTGGCAGATACATTAGTACGATTCGCATTAACGTCTTGCTACCAAAACATCAAAATTTAAAGATGACACCAGAAGAGAGAATTCTTGTATGGGAAAAAGCATATTCTCTGTGCACCGTTTGCCGTTATCCTGTTGACAAATTTGCTCAAAGTGATGTTTACAAATTCAAGATCGAAGAAGAATTGGAATATTTAGATTACAACGAAATGAGAACG